ACATTTTCATTTTGCACTGAGCCCTGCACAGTATGTAGCTGGAAGGCACTGAAGATTATATAGCCACCATGGCTGGCTAGGATCTGATCATGCTTGGAGTTTCTGTGTTCAATTCTGGACACTCCAGTTTCAGAGATTTTACAAATCAGAGGGACTAAAACAAACCAGAGGGCCTGCAGGAGGTGGTAACTAAAATGGCAAGGGCACTAGGAGCCATGTGAAATGTGGGAGGCATTAGGGACTGGTGATATTCAGGCTGGAGAGGAGACAGCTTCCTGAGGAGAAGGGTGGAAGGGAGACATAGGAGCTGCCTTTGGCATTTCAAATGCTGTCCTGTTACAGAAAAATCAGCTTTCACCTGGGTCATCCCAGGAGAAAAACAAGATCAACAAGCAAAGGGACAGAGGGTCAGCCATGAGCTCCCTAAATCATAAGAATTGTTCCTAATCACAGCAGCTGCCGTCCTGCTACGTGCCAGTGTCTTTACGTATTAGCCGGTTTAATCCCCGGAACCATCCTATGAGCTAGACATAGAAGAATGGAAGAATTTTACAACAACCAAAGCTGACCTTTGAACGACAGTGACACCTCTTCTGGAATGTTCTAAAGGGGACCCTACATTGGGTTAAAAGATAATCTGTAGATCTTGCTAATTTTAGGCATCAGTTCCAAGGCCCTGCAGTCTTTGTCAGCCCTGGCACCAGATGGCGCTGCCTCAAAGATGCAGACTGGTGGCATTTCTAGGCCTTGAAAAAGGAGGCGACGGATGAGGCGACACAGGGTACATGGTGGGGGTGGACCCGGAGAAAGTGGTGGGTACTCTTGTGGACCCTCCCACATACCCGTCCCAGAGCCAACAGTGGGTTGGGCATCCAGTGAAGGCTTGGGGAACTTCACTGGCACCAGCCCCGTCTTTGCAGTATGGACACAGCTGAACAATGCCCTCCACGGCCAAGGAAGGACATGGGCAGCCCTCCTCAGACCTGAAAACTAGTGCTTGCTACCAAGCCCCAAGTCCTAAACTAGAGTCCTGAAACCAGGAGGCTCTCATACCTGAGAAGGCAGCCCCACAGGTGAAAAAGTTCACTTAGACAAATCCTTGGGTGCTAACCCATTTCCTGAGACAGGTAAGGCCAAGCTTGGCTGTCCCAGGACCTGAAGGCAAGGAGGGAGGCTGAATATCTGCTCTCAGAGCAGCACACGAGGGGCAGCGCAGCCTGCAGAGTCCAGCTGAGGAAACCGCAGAGGACAAACAACCTGGTTCCTTCAACAACAACTGCCAGAAAAGAAATCAAGACTAAGGAAGAGGAAGAGAACCACCTAGAGATTATGATGAGTCTTTAGAGACTGTTCAACCCATTGTAATGCAGGGCCTACCCTATATGAATGCTGATTCAAACAAACTATAAACAAAAAATTAACATTAACCAGGTAGCTGATAATACTAAAAAAAATTGCTGATTTTTAAATGTGTAAGATAGTGGTATTGTGGTTGGGTTTTTCGAGAGTCCTTATCTTTAGAGATGTGCACAAAAACATTTATAGATGAAAAGCTATAATGCCTGGATCTTCTAAATAACTCAGCGTGGGTGGGCAGTTGGGAAGATGGTTGAAATGAGACTGGCCAAGATCTGGTGACTGCTGGCACTGGTGGTGGGTACACAGGGGTTCCTTCTATGTGGGAAGCTCTCCATCAGGAAAGAGTTTAGATAAAGAAAAGAGCCACCACCCAAATACCTGGACTTTGTGAGGATTCCACTGCAGGCCCACTGTAGGGTATCTGACAGAGAGACACTGACAAAATTCGCTCAAGTATTTTATTAGTTTTGGATTAATTTTTTTCTTTCCTAGGACCAAGGCTTAGGTGTCAGGGAAGGTCTGAAAGCACTAGTTCACCTTCAGGGTGCTGCAGAAACTTTGGAGACAGTCTAACGGTGCTTCTAGGCCAGCTTAGCTGTCCTTCCTCACACAAGCAGAGGTCTCTCTCCTGGCCCTCCCCAGTCACCCCGTCCCTGGCCACCTGTTCTGGGACACCCTCTTTGGATGGAAGGATATCACCAGGAAATGGACAGCCTGCTCCCCATGGCAGTGGTGTCTGACCCTGCCCTGCCTCAACCTCCCTTCCTAAACACAGAAAGACACACGGAGAGACTCCTTCCCAACCAGAAAGCCAGCCTATTGGTGACCTTTTGGACCCAGTATTCTGTATTTGGACCCAGTATTCTGGTAGTGGAGCTTCGACTCCAAAAACACGTCCTTTCTTCCCTCTCAAATGTGTCATCTCTTAAAGCTTCATCTGGGACATAACAAGGATCCAGGAAGGCCATGGGTGATGATGGCACCTGGGAGCAACCACCACATCAACGTTACTGTCATCAAACCCAGGACCAACAGCCTAGCCAAGATCTGGCTCTTCAGCCACATCTTAAGGGAAGGAAAAACAATTTTTTCAGAGTCCAAAGCAAGCCTTGTCTAAGCCTATGCCATTCCAGCCCTGTTCCCAGTTTATCACCCTGGGAGGAAGGAGCAAGTGACAGCTCTGCTGAGTGTGTCTGGTAGGCACGGGCATGTGGAAGGTGGTGCCCACGGATCAATGCTGTTTGGTGGCTCAGCCGCAGAAGACATTTTCTAGCAAAGTGGGGCAGCTCAAAGAGGAAGCCATGACTGCTCCACGCCATCTCAAGACCACCCGACACAACTCCAAAGACGAACAAGCAGTGCGGCCCAGTGGTAGCCCAAGCTGCAACAACTTACCCCAACTCACTTCAGGAAGGCATGCTCAAACTAAAGCAATTCCAGTGAGAAAAACCCAACTTCACTGAAATTATCTGGAGTCTTGGTCCTGAGTAATAGAAAATACACCCTTAGTTCCCTACTCTGCTTTTGTAGAGGAGACTCGGCCTCAGCCCCAGTCCACAGAAGTGGCCTTAGCTGCAGGGGATGGGGTATGAATTCACTAATATTCCTGGGCAAATGATCTCATAAGCTGGTGGGGACACATGGGGGGGCCTTTCATCTGGCCAGGTTTCGGTTTCCTTCTCACACACTTTTCATCCTACCTTCAAGCCCCTGGTTCTAAAATTGGAAGGAGCAGGATCCCCTTACCACACTGGTAAGCTCAAGGCTTCAAGTCTTCTGCAAGTCACCAGCCACCTCCAGCACCACCAGGCACACACTCTCCCCACTCTGGCTTGCTGTATAGACAGAGAATGGGGCGATAACCTTTTTTCCCCCTCAGACTCTTTTCCAAAAAGAAAAAAGACAAAAGAAAAAATTTTAGCTGAAGGAAGGGGGAATGACTGGCACCTGGCCCTTCTGCGTAAGGGGTTGAGATGGCCACACAGGGCCAGGTGCAGGCCTAGATAGAAAGATCCACGGAAGTAGGTAAGGATGAGGGAGGGTGAGAGTGGTGTCCCCTGCTTCTAACCAGTTACTAGAACAACCTATAAGGACAAGAATTCCAATAGCACCTTCTCCTCTTCACAGTCCTCCAAAATATAAACTCAGGGCGTACTCTAGTCTAGATTACATTCCTGATGCAGTGCTGAAAGCACCCCCAAACCCAAATTTTGTTTCTGGATCCAGTTATATTATTCCTCCCAACTTCCCAAACAGGCAACGGGATGACCAAAGCCATTGTGAGTTGCTTTTCTTTTTTGTGAATGAACAGGAAGGAAGACACAGAGACACACACTCGCGGGAAACAACCTTTACGAGAGTTGAAGTTAAGCCACATTCTCTCACATTCGCATAAAGAGAGGAAAAAGGGAAATGAAGGGGAAAAAATACTGGAATGGTGGAAAGGAAACACACACACACACACACACACACACACACACAGAAAGGTTTGGTAGCCCTCTCATTACAAGTTGGTTGGGCATAATGTAAACACACTTCTGCCTTGCTTAATCACAGAGTGCCGCCCGTTTAGGTTTCAAAGGCGGCAGTAAATTGGGCGTAGCTGAGTGGAGGCTAAAAATTAACCAGCCATCTCTGTTTCAATTTGTAAGAAAACAAAAGCGGAAAGAAATTATAAAAAGGGAAAGGGTAAAGGCAAAAAAAGGAACAGAGGAGGAGAACTAAACCACCCTGACCCAAAATGCAGGGTAAAACTGGAAAAGCGAAGAGGAGAAGCAGAACTACTTGGAACAAAAAAGGAAAAGGAGATTTAACAGAGTTTTTTGTTTGTTTGTTTGCTTAAGACCTCTTCCACAGCAACGCTGCTCCCAGCCATGCCTGTGCCCTGAGAAAGCCGATCTGCCCCCTAGCAGAGTGTCAGGGCTGTGGGCATCCATCCTGAGGCCTTGCCACTTTAGCTGTAATAAGGAGAAGGGAAAGAGCTCAAGGAATCTCGTGCTTGTTTTCACTCTGTATGAAATCAAATTACTTTCATACTCTCTGACAGCCAACACAGCTCCCGCCTGAGCATCTAGGCCACAGAATCTGCCCACTACCATCTTCTCTCCTCTTTTCTATTCATTCAGTCTCATATCCTAGGGTTTCACATGCCCCTTCTCTCCACCAGACTGCTGCCCATCCCGCTTATACCAAACCTGGTTTTTCCTGGGACTTGAGATGAAGCTGCAGGAAAACTAACACCTGACCCTCAATACTTCTTCTGACTTATTTTAATAAGAGCAATGATTGGTTCGCTGTTGCCGTTCTTCTTCTCAAACTCTCACCATCATGGATAATTCTGGGGGCATCATGTCCCCAATCCTAAGACCTGCAGCATCTTTCTGATCAGATGAGTCCTCCAAAGATGGAGATGCACAAAGTCAGTAACATGGCCAGGGGGCAGAGGAATAGCGCAGGTCGGGGGAGACAGAAGACGGAAAAAAGGAAAAGGGCACATAGAACGCGTTGCAGGCCCAGCAGGATGGGCATATACCAGTTAGGCCCATGGTGAGTTATCGCTTGGAAATAAGAGGAACAATAAACAGAACAAATGCCAGCAAGTAAAACAAAATGAGGGGGAAAAAAGGTTGAGAACGACCTACCCGGAGTGTGGACAAAGTAAGCCAGATAAAGATCCAGTTCTTTGATTGTGACTCCAATGTGATGTGGCTGGACGCACAGGCCGGGGTTCGAGCACTGAGGCGACTTGTAGAGCCGCTCCCCATCAGTACTTTCCAGGGGGATCCCCTTAAACAAAATCACCATGACCAGGTCCAGCCGCCACACCTTGTCAGCCTGGCGCAGGCAGTCAATCCGCCGGATCTTGCCCTTCTGGTCGGGGTTCGAGAGCACACAGCAGGGGGGCTTCTTGCCCGTGATGGTCAGCACAAAGTCCTCGCGGAACTCGGGCCGGATGTCTTTGCGCAGCTTGGCCAGGAGCCCATCCTTCACCGCCCGCTCCTCGTCCTTTGACATCCGCTTCTCGTGCTTCTTGAAGTACTTGCGCTTCCGCGCCTGCAGGTTGAACCAGGTGTAGGAGAAAGCGCGGACGTGAGGCAGCAGTGCCTCGATGAACGGGTGGAACTCATCCTGCAGGCGGCAAGCCGGGAGCATGCGGGGCGAGGGAGGACGGGAGGAGGGGAAGACGGGATGAGGGGGAAAGAGAGAAGGAGAAAAGCAGCGTTAGAAAGGGGGGGGCACAAGGAAAACTGCCTTCTCCTCCTCCTCCCTCCTCCCAACAATTTTCTCTTGCGATTGTTCTATAAAAGTGTGGTTTGAAGCCACCACCAGCTTCGCCAGCCACTTGCTCCCATCTCAGCCTCAGCAGCCAGACAGAGGCACCGGGAGCCTGTACACACACCTATTCTCTCTCTCTCTCCCTCACTCACTCACACACACGCGCACAGACAACGTTGCCGTCCACACACACACGCTGCTGGTATCCCCGCCAGGCTCTGTCGCGCCCATGACATCTCCATGTTCTATCGCAGCCGTGAACTCCTGTCAGCTCGCCCCGGTGCGATGTCCGTCTGCACAGACGCCCGTGGACGCACATGCGGGGGCGTGCGGGGCCGCCTCTGGTCCCCGACACCGGTCGCTTTTTGGCCACCCCCAAGAAGAGAGAAAATGACATCCACGAGCAAGCGAGTGAGGAAACAGATCAGGCTTCCCTCTCCCCAGGCTGTTTTCATTTTTTTTTCTCCTGATCCAGTTGGAACATCCACCCCAGCATTTTTTAATCAGACCTAAATCCTAAATATGTGATTTCAGCTTTGTTATCGACACGAGCACTAATGTTAATCACAGTAATAATGAACAAAACACTTCTTGTTAGCACAAATAAGGTGCTTGTCTCGGCCACATTAGGGTTAAAAGCTACATGGGTCTTCTTGCGACCCCTTCCCCAGCCTCCCACAACCCCTTCACCCTCTTTCCCACTCAGTCAGGTGACAGAGGGATGGGCTCTCTCGGTTTTGTTTTGTTTTTTTTTTTTTTTTTTTTTTTTTTTTTTTTTTTTTTTTTTTTTTTTTTTGGTTGTTTGCTTGTTTGAAGTTTAAATAATAATTGATTTCTGTTTACAAAAATAAAACTGGAAAAAATTAAATAATTACCATTGATCTGAAGCACCCGGCAAAGCCCAACGCCCGATTCTGAGATTCTGGACTCAACAGAGTTGTGAGTTGGGGGCGGGTGGGGGGAGGGGGGAGGAGGAGGAGCAGGGGAGGAAGGTAAATGTTTTAAAGGGGGTTATTATTGGTGTTCTGGGGAATAGGGGCCGGGCTTGGGTGGATTCTCAAACCCTTCCCCCTCCTCCCCCCCCCATGCTCCATTGCACAGAAGGGGGAAATTAATATTTTTTTTTTGAAAAGGAGCAAAAAGAAAGAAAGGTCAGGGATAGCAAGCAGAGAGGGAGCGAGCCGGTTGCCACACACGCCAGGTAAACAAAAGACAACAAAAAAATTTTTTTCAATTTCTTCCCCTGTGCTTTAAAAAAAAAAAAAGAAAAAAATGCAAAATTTAAAAATCAAAACCAGCCTCCCACCATTTCCCCGCAACCAACAACGCACCCCACCCCACCCCGTGCAAAACAAAAACAAAAACAAAACCCAGGAGGGAAAAAGCGGCAGCTGAAGAAAAAGGCTTTCGGCTTTGGCAGCGGCACAGGGGTGTAAACTTCAAGCTGCCTCCCTCCGCCTGATCGGAGGAAAAGGGGGAGCTCGCAGATTCCCGGGGAAGAGGACGAGTTCTGACCGGCTGCAGACCGTTGCTGGCAGACGCGTGCAAAAGAGAGAGAGGGAGCGAGGGAGGGAGGAAAGGAAGAAGGGGGGAGGGAAAGATCGAGGATCGAGGGAGGACGTGGATGGGATGGGGCTTATGTGTGAGTGTGTGCGTGTGTGTGCGCGCTGGTTGGATTTTGGGGTGTTTTTTTGCTCCTTTTCTCTCTCTCAAACTCCCTCTTTCTCTCCTTTCAGGCTCAATCCCCATCCATTTGCTTGTGCCAAGCCAGTAAAAAAAAAGGGGGGGGGGAGGAGGAGGAAGGGAGAGAGAGGGAGGGAGGGAGAGAGAGAGAGGAGAGGGAGGGAGGGAGGGAGAAAGAGAGAGAGAGAGAGAGAGAGAGAGAGAGAGAGAGAGAGAGAGAGAGAGAGAAAGGATCCACCTATTTGGCAAAGAGACATCCGCGAGCAGCCAATGGCTGCGCCCAAGGGGAGGAGGGAACCGGGCGAGCCGGGAGGGTGGGGAGAGCCCCCGGCAGTTGGAGACCAAAAACAATTTGCCCAATCGACAAGTTCACGTCTAATGAACAAGCAAAGTCCAGCAGTTATGAATTTTTCATTCCAGGCTCCCACTTGGGTCCATTTGGCAGCAGCCACCCAGCAAATCTGGGGGTGGGGTGGGGCAGTGGGGGGGGGGGGACTGAGATTGTGGAAGACTCGAAATTTTTTTTTAAGCCTGAAAAATAAATAAATAAAGGCCTGACTCCGGGCGGGCTGGCGGGCCGCAGCCCCAGAAGGCCTTGGGGAAGCAGCTGCGCCTTCTCTCTGTGTTTTGGTTTCAGTCCTTCTCTCGGGCCTGCACACTCTCTCTTTTTCTGTTTCTATTTCTTTTCTTTTTTTTTCCTATGGAGCACACAGGGGCGAGTGGAAGTTTTCCTCCCCGGCCACATACACATGAGCCTGTGGTGCTATGAATAGAAATAAGAAGAAAGAGAGCTCCGAAAGTGTCCATGCCAACAGTACTTCCCGGGAAGGGACCTGGCGCCCTGGGTACTGCCACCCCATGATGCCCCCAGGTCTGGCTGCTGAAAAAGCACTCTCAGACAAGGGGGAGGCCAGCACCCCACACATTCCCCCCTTTTCCCCCAGCAAGCTCAGCCTCCTCCTTCGGCCCACACCCAGCCACGCACGCTCCATTAGCGGTGACGAGGGATGCCAACGCAACACAGCTCGGCTCGAGAAACTGCAACAGTTTATTAAAATAGCCTCCTGTCACAGCACTCCGCCTGACAAGCTCTACACGCAGCCACAAACAACAGCCAGACCCGGGAAGAAGTGACAAAGGCAAAAAGATGGACACTACCTCTAAGTAGAGGCAATGAATCTGACCAACTCCCCCACCACTGCCCATTTAATTCTCTGCTTCCTCCAGATTTGCTCTCTCCAATTGACCTGAGATTAATTTTCTTACCTGTCTCCCAAATCAATTCAGACTAAAGGGCCCAAACACTAGCAGTGCAAAGTACAAAATATAAGATGAGAAACCCAAATGAAAAGAAGAGAGCTAAGAAAAGACACAACAAAAAACAAAGCAAAGGGCTCTATGAAAAGCAGGCCACCTGGGGGAAATCAAGTCACAGAGAAGAGACCCACAGGAGAGCCCCTGCTCTGGTCCTCTACTTGGGACCTTCCTCACAGCAGGAAGAAAGGGCGAGCACTGGGGAGGGGAGTCCCACCTCTAAGGGGGTCTTTCCAGTAAGAGGTATGGCACAGTCATGCTTGAGGCCTTCGAAAATCAGTAAGAAGGAAATAGATGTGATATAAAACGAAAAGCAGAGGAGAAAGGATGTGGATGCAGACAGGAGAAAGGGATCCAAATCTATTCAGAACCCGATCCCTACAGTCGCCCTCTCCCCCAGCGAGGCTCAGTCCTCAGCTGGCAATGGAAAAAAGGTCACTGCTCACCCATGCCCCTTTCTTCCCCAACTGAAACCCTGTGCTTTGTGGCCTTTATGTTGGCAGAAAGGTTCCCAGAAGAGCACCTGGGGCGTGCCAAGACAAAACATCCAGCCCTGGGCTGGCACTGAACCCTGACAATGGGAAAGGGGCTGCCCAACACCTGGGACCCCAGTCTGTGCCCTGAATGATCCATTTAAAGTGAACTGAGCTCACGGCTGACCCCTGAGAGAAACAGTTAGAGGTGAGAGTAAAGAAGGCAGGTGTTATTAGAGACACCAGCGTCGTGTCTGATAATTTCACATCATGCTAATAACCAGCTTCAAAAGATGTTAGCTTAGTGACATGACAAAGTACCAAATCCTGCCTCTCCTCCTCGCAGAAACAATTTTACTCTCTAAAGTCAAGATGAGGCCATTAAAAACTACAAATGAATTTATATCTGGCATGGGGGCGTTTTTCTTGTATTCTGATTTATACCAAGTATTAAATACCAAACAGAAAATGGCCAACAGGAGCCTCCTGGAGAATCCTGGCATGTTCTGCTTCACAGACCACAGTGTCACAGTAGAAGAGACGCACTTGACATGGGTTGAATCTGAATCTGGTGGTACAACTGGGTCAGGGATAGAGGTAGGGGCAGTAACAGTGCCACAGCTGGGAGATGACAGATGGAAAAATCCATGTAGAAGTTAGGAAAACAGGACAAGATGCATGATTCGCTTCTGAGGAAAAGCGGCAGAAGAGTGTCTCAATAGAGCCTCCAGCACCCACAAAGAGCCCCAAGCACCCCCTCAAGGCTCTCGTAACAGAAGGAGCAACAGGCCTTTCCCAGGGCAGAAAGTAGGAGGGAGAACAATTGTCAATTGTCCTTCTCTTGCCAGTGGCTATAACCTTGCAGGTGGGCAGAAGATTCTCAAGCAAATACTTTCCCCTCACCCCATTCTCTCTATGGACTCTGGCTCCCAGTGGGGAAGGCCTTTCTGGAGGAGTGGCCAGGATATTCTGATGCTTAGGGAGATGAGAAGGTCTCTCTCTATTTCTCTCTCCCTCCCTCCCTCCTTTCCCTCCTACCGTGGGCGTACACAGAGGAATTGCTCAGGTTCCATTAGAAACATTTCAAGCATCCTCCACTGTGGGCCCCCTCTTCTTGCATGCCACTGGTGGCGGCCATCAGCCCAGACACGCCCCTCGTGAGCCCCAGACAAAAGGAAACTGTCCCCCTTTTGTTAACGGAGTGGAGGCTCCTGTTGGAAGATTACCTGTCCCTGGCCCAGCCTCCTTCCCTTCTCCCCTCCAGCCCCAGGCAGGAGATCAGACTTCTTTACATCCCACACCAAAGACCAGAATCAAGACAAAAAATCCCTCAGAGGATTCAAGGCTTCTCCAGGTCTGAGTCACTGGCAAGTATAAGAGTTCAGGTGATGGAAAGAGTGAGGGGACATGCAGGCAACAGAGTAGAAGGACTCAGGAAATGGAGAAAGGAAGCCAGTGATGCTGGTAAGAGGGGAGGGTAAAAAAAAAAAAAAAAAAAAAAAAAGGATGGGGAGAAAAGGAAAAGGAGGAAACACTGTAGGGAAAGGTATTTCTCCCATTGGAGAGAAAACTCATCGAGAAGCCATAAGACTTTTAAAAATTCACATAGGCTTTTGGTTTGTGGAAAGGGATTTTGCTGCCTTTGTGGAAGAAAAGCCTCTCTCTTTTATTGTTGAGTATACAGTATTTGGTTAAAAAAAAAAAAAAAGCAACAGTTTTCACTGAAACATTGCTAAAATACATACCCATGCCACTTTCAGCCATCACTAGGAGAAATGTACCCCCAACAGAAAAAAACTGAAAAGGCCACAGAGAAAGAGAAATAGACAGGAGAACGAAAAAGAGAAAAAAAGCCAAACCTGGAGAAAGAGTGCCAAGCTGAGTCCACAACTGCAAAGAAAGACGGACAAAGATGGAGAGAAACAGAACAGCA